ATAATACCATGAATTATAAAAATATTAATGTTGTTCCGTATTGCTTAATTATTATGTATTAAGAGATTAATATTCATATTTAGGTCACGACTACAACATTTGGCGTAGTCGGCAGGATTATGCTTGAATATTGGGGAAAATATAAATGTTATGCATTTTGCTTAAATCATACTGTAAATTGTCTGTCTGTATACAAATGAATAAATGAATGATGATTTGGTTTTAATGGAATGAATGCAGATAGCAAATAGGGATTAGATATTTGTTTTTAATGTATCTCTTGCTGTAGAACATAGTGATGAATTATTGTGTTGCTTGTTACCAATCTTTGGTCATTTGTATATAGGAGAAAACTTATATATACTTTTACCTTTTGTCTGACCATGTGGATTTTAATCCACCATTGACCACATGGTGTGAATGAGTTGAGGCCTAGTTTCATTGTTTGCTACCATTTGCATAGGAAAAGACTTTTCACTAAACTAGTTCACCAGGTTTTATTGCTAAATTTGACCCTGTTTGTGTACTAATTTACATTTGTTTGGCATTCATGGATTTGTCTAGTAAATTAGTAGTTAAGAAAAAGATACGTTTAGTAAAGCAGATTCAGTGAATTCAGTGAATAATAGATTTATGTGTGCGTATACACAGAATATTAGTATAAATATATATGATTTTGACTCATGAAGGAGAGACCACCTTTTTAACAGCTGTGTGACCATGCTTTTCAGCTACAGCTGGGGGAGAATTTGTCCTTGTTGGGGGTGGGTAGTCTTGCTGTATGAGAAAAAATAAACTGCATTGTTTTGTAAATGTAATTGCCTAAACTAATCAATTTGTGGAGTGTTTTTCAGCTTTATTATCCAGGACTAAGGAATTACTGGACATATGCACTGGTAACAAATGAACTGAAAAAATGGTAAAATAATTCCTTTGTCCTATTTAGTCTGAATATTTTAACAAGTTAGCATTTTTAACAAAGTAAGTGTAGGGGCTCAGATTAAGATTTATATTATTTTAGAAGCCATCTATAACTGATTTTAATATTTCCATGCTTTGAATTAGGGTGTATCTGCCTAGCGGGTGAACCTCCATAACGTGGGCTGTGATTTTAGTTACAGTAGCGGGTGGGGAACCTGAGCTAGGGGGTATTTAAACGTGTCCGGATAAGGGGGAGCATACCCAATAGTTGTTGTGCAGTTCTATCCTGTATTATTATTATGAAACCCTGTATTACTTATAAGTAGCGTTTTGTAACTTATTTGTAATTGTTTATATATATTGCTCTGGGAAAGGGATAGGCAAAATCTCTGAGAGACCAGGAAATATATTTTAAAAAGGGCGTATTACACTAGTGGTAGGGCGGCCTATCATGACCATAGAAACCCTTGGTGACTAGTTTTTGTTGTATATTGCCCTGGGAAGGGGATACGCTATTTAATAGAAATTCCTGAGAGACCAGGAAATATACAATAAGTGATACGTGAGTGTACTGGTTAAATTGCAGACATATTGGCCCAGAACCTTTAATCGAGCCGGAAAAGAGGCTGCTGTATGTTTGCTCCTCTATAATTTTGCGGGGGCGGTCACCCCCATGCGGAAAGCCACTGCCATCACAGGGTGGTTAGTTGTGCAGGCCCTTAGCCGCGAGGTGCAAGCATGTCCGTGGAAAGGCTAGAAATTAATAGGGAGTCACTCATAGCTGTCAGAAGTGTTGAACTTTGAGACATATTGACCTATATCCTTTCAGAGGCGGAAGAGGTGTTGTGGTTCACTCCTCTATAATTTAACCAAAGGGTGGAGAGTTATTAAACATGTTTAGGTTGGCTAGAAATGTGTTTCCTGAATTGCAGAGAAGATGCAGAAAGCAGCTATTAGCTTATTGTTTTTTAAGAGCCTTGTAAAAAAAATTAAAAAAAATAAGAAAGTTATCTTGTTGAAAAAAATTGTTTATAAAATGAAAAGCTGAAGGAATGTGTTTACATGTCTGTGTGTGTGTATATATATATATATATATTCTAAGTAAAATATTTGCAGTATACGCTATAAGTGACTAGGAAAGTAATCCTGATCTGTTTCCTAACCTTTTCAGATGTAGCAGAAACCAGAGGTGGACATTGGAACACAGATAGAATATCAGATGGAGACCAGTGTTTAAATGTTGACCTTTGATTAGCTATTGAATGTTTTATTTTATTGTCTATTTAACATGTCTATGCTATGATTTTGTGCATACTATTCTCTTATTTCTAGTGATTGTATTGCAATTGAAACCCTTATGTATTATTGTTGTATGTATGTATGTATGTATGCTTGCCTGGGAAAGGGGGGAATTGACCCATAGGGACCAGGGGGTATTTTTGTGTAAACCAAACTGGGGTGGGAGGGCTCTAACGAGGGAACCCCATTGTCCAGTAGGTGCTTGATTTGTGTCTGTGTAAAGTGCATGAGTGGTTGCAGTTCAAAAAAAAAACAAAAAAACAAAAAAACGGAAGAATGATAAGAGGGATAAGAGAAAGTAGGCATTTTGGGTTATCTATACATGTTTAAATAGAAGGGTGGTAAATAGGAATGTAATTGTTTTGGTTAATGTTTAGATTAAATTGGTTAAATACAGCAGTGATAACGAGTGTTTAGATTAAATTGGTAAATGCAGCAGTAATAACGAGTGTTTGGGTTAAATTGGTAGATACAGCAGTGATATTGTGTTTATCTGTGAATCAGGAGTGTGCTGGATGTGAAGAGAGGTGTGTAGGTATTTATCCAAACGCCATAGGAAAAAAATATGGTTAAGACACCACAATCAAATGGTACTTGTGATGATTGGCACAGTTATTATTTATGTTTGTGTTCGTCATTGCCTGTGTTTTCATTCAAGAACTTTCAAGCAAGGATATTTTAAGCAGAAGAAGAAGAAGCACTGGACACTATGCTCAACTGTTGCTGTTAGGAGAAAAAATATTGCAGCTAAGAGTGGTGAAAGTCGGAACAAATGCATCAGGAGCAGGACACTGTTACGTCAAGTGGTTAATGGTATAAAGAAAGAAAAAACAAAACAATGTGACCACAAACACACAAAAGTCCTTGATCACATGAACTGTTTCATTCATCCCTGTCTCCATGCGTATGTTCTATGAGACTGTCGAAGAATAGAGTATCCAGTTTCCAGGACTAATGTTTGTGAAAATTCCAGGCACACAGACCAGCCAGAGGCTACAGAAATCGAGTCGGTCTGTGCCATGATTCATAGGTGTTATGAGTTTGTGGTGTCTAATACTATATTAAGCTCCAAAACACATCCTCACATGAGCACAATATCATTGGTTAATCTAATAAAACATGGTTTGAGTTGTTCATTATTATAAGGGTGGGTATGTGCCTATTTCCCAACTGGTAATGCATGTGCTCAATGGTGAACATTTATATAAGCAATAAAATGTTAATGGGTAATAATTAATGGGTAAATGGGTATCGTTCTTCAAAAGGTGGGTTTTGTTGTAGGGCAGGTAGTGTTAAAATGGGGAAGATTCACAATTTACTGGTTTTATAAATGCTTGTTTTATGACATAAGTCAAAGGGTGGTTTGTAATGGTATTTATTAATTAATGACTTTACATCATAAAGAAAGCATATTTAGTGTAATGCTTTGGGGGCACCACTAGGGGGAGTGTGTAGGAAGACATGTGCTTCTGGCAGTGACATCACAGGCCAGCCTACTTACACTGAATAAAACCAGATGGAGGAGAAAACTCTGTCTCTTTTGCCTGTACCTGACTGAACCTAAGATGTAGTACCAGCTCTGACTTAACCCCAGCCAAAGGGCTGGGGCCTTGTAAGTAATATGTTGTAGTTTTGTATTATCATTATTGTAGTAAATTGACATTCTGCTAGCATCTGTTTATTATAGTTATCATTATTGTAGTAAATTGACATTCTGCTAGCATCTGTTTATTTATTATAGTTATATTAAATATACATTTAATATTACAACATTTGTGTATTTTCTATCCACATATTCGACCATAATACCATGAATTATAAAAATATTAATGTTGTTCCGTATTGCTTAACCCCTTAAGGACGGAGCCAAATGTACACATTGTGAACAAAACAAAATGTAAACAAAACCTGGCATTTGCGCTACATGTCTGTCCAACCGTAATACACCTCTTTCATCAGGGCCGGACTGGGAAAAAAATTAGGCCCGGGCATTTTTCAATTAGAGCAGCCCCCCAAGAAGGGGGCGGTGCCAGAGAGGGTGTGTTTTGTCATCACTAATGACAAGCACACCCCCTCTCAAAGTGAGCATGTTGGTTCAATGTGCAGAGCCCCGCTGAAGAGCTCTGGCATTAGAAAAAGGCCCTGTATTTGTTCTGAGCAGCGCAAGCAAATGTAATAACATGCTTGCACTGTGTTTGCTTTTAAATTGTCTCTGCTGTCTCCACAAGTGGGATACCAGAGGACAAAAGGGCCAGGAAAGTGTATGGTGCATGTGTTTGGCGCCTCCTTGTGGGATTGCCTGTGTGTAGAGTGTGGTGTGGTATTGTGTAAATAGGTGTAATATGTGTGGTGTAATATGTGTGGCTATGGGCTGTAGAGAATGCGTGTATAGGGGCATAGTGTTATAGGGGATGTAGCGAGTGTGTGCATACAGGCAGTAGTGTGTGTGTATAGGTGATGTAGTGTGTGTAGGGGTTGTAGAGAGGGTGTGTTTAGAGAATGTTGTATGTGTTTGCTTACAAGGAATGTAGTGTGTGTGTGTAGGTGGTGCACTGTGTGTGTGTAAGAGATCTAGTGTGTAAAGGACCCAGAGTGTGTATAGAAGATTGTGTGTGTGTGTGTGTGTGCAGATGATTAAGAGTGCATATAGGGTAAGGGATCTAGCGTGTATCTGGAGCGTAATGTGTGTAGTGGTGCAGTGTGAGGGGTGCTGTAGTGTGTGTGTGTGTGTGTATATATATATATATATATGTATATATGTATATATGTGTGCTATGTGTGTCTCTCGGTGTGCTGAGTGTGTCTGGGGGTGCTGTGTGTGTGTGTCTGGGGGTGCTGTGTGTGTGTGTGTCTGGGGTGCTGTGTGTGTGTGTCTGGGGTGCTGTGTGTATCTGGGGTGCTGTGTGTGTGTGTGTGTGTGTCTGGGGTGCTGTGTGTGAGTTGGCTGTGTGTATCTGGGGGTGCAGTGTGTGTCTGGGGTGCTGTGTGTGAGTGTGTCTGGGGGTGCTGTGTGTGTGTCTGTGGGTGCTGTGTGTGTGTCTGGGGGTGCTGTGTGTGAGTTGGCTGTGTGTGTCTGGGGTATGTGTGTGTGTCTGGGGGTGCTGTTTGGGAATTAATTTTTAATATATATTTTCTTTTTATTAATAATTTTTTTAAAGTTATGTCCCCCCCCCCCTTTCTTACCTTTAGCCTGGGAGGGGGAGGGAGCCGTTCTGCCTGGGAGGGGGAGCCTTGAGGGGGGACCATGCTGCATTCCCTGGTGGTCCAGTGGTGAGAGTGAACTCTAACCTGCAGGTTAGAGTTCACTCTCGCGAGATCTGAGCGTTGCCGCGGCAACGCTCAGAATCTCGCGAGAGGACCCGGCGGAGCTGCTGGCTAGAGCTCCGCCGGGTCCTCCCTCACCCAGCAGGTGGCCGCATCTCCCTGTCTGTGGGCCGGTGAGGGAGATCTTTGATCTCCCCACCGGCCCATGGAGGCACTATGCAGGGCTGGCGCTCGGATAGCGCTGGCCCTGCAGGGGCCGGCCGGGGAGATCCTGTGATCTCCCTGCCGGCCTCGCCCCACGCCATCGCCGCTCATCGGCATTTGCCCGTATGCCCATGGCCAGTCCGGCCTGTCTTCTTATAGTAAATGCACCCACCCTTATTATATATCATTTTATTCAGGGGAAACAGGGCTTTCACTTAATATCAAATATTTAGCTATGAAACATAATTTAATATGAAAAAAATGGGAGAAAATACGTTTTCTTGGATTTTTTAGTTCTACATGACATTTTAACGGTCAATGTCATAATACTGTTTGCTTTTACTGCAATAAAATACACATATTTGTATTCAGTAAAGTCTCACGTGTAAAACAGTACCCCCTATGTACAGGTTTTATGGCGTTTTGGGAAGTTACAGGGTCAAATATAGCACGTTACATTTGAAATTGAAATTCGCCAGATTGGTTACGTTGCCTTTGAGACTGTATAGTAGCCCGGAATGAAATTTACACCCATAATGGCATACCATTTGCAATAGTAGACAACCCAAGGTATTGCAAATGGGGTATGTCCAGTCTTTTTTAGTAGCCATTTGGTCACAAACACTGGCCAAAGTTAGCGTTAGTATTTGTTTGTGTGAAAAATGCAAAAAATGCCAATTTTGGCCAGTGTTTGTGACTAAGTGGCTACTAAAAAAGACTGGACATACCCTGTTTGCAATACCTTGGGTTGTCTACTATTGCAAATGGTATGCCATCATAGGGGTAATTTTCATTCTTGGGCTACCATAGGGTCTCAAAGGCAACATAACCAATCTGGCAATTTTAATGTGAAAATTGAAATGCAAGCCTTATATTTGACGCTGTAACTTTTGAAAACATAAAACCTGTACATGAGGGTACTGTTGTACTCGGGAGACTTCGCTGAACACAAATATTTGTGTTTCAAAACAGTAAAAAGTATCACAGCAATAATATCGTCCGTGTAAGTGCTGTTTGTGCGTGAAAAATGCAAAAAACGTCACTTTTACTGGCGATATCATCGTTGTAATACATTTTACTGTTTTGAAACACTAATATTTGTGTTCAGCGAAGTCTCCCGAGTAGAACAGTACCCCCCATGTACAGGTTTTATGGTGTCTTGGAAAGTTATAGGGTTAAATATAGTGCTAGCAAATTAAATTCCCTTTACTTTCGGCATGGGTTGTCAGGCAGGTCCTGCTAATTGTAATTAATTAAGATACCTAATTATGTAAAAATATTACATAAATATATATGTAGAATTAATATATGTATATATATACGTATGTGTATATATATGTATATATCTATATAATTTTTTTAAAATATTTTTATTTATATATAGGTATATATATAGTCATATATATGTATATATTTATGTATATAGATATATATATTATTTCGTTCTACGTGTATTTTGATATATATATATATATATATATAATTTCACAAAACAGTTAGAACGAAATAACACACATCTATATATTTTTTAATTATTTATTTTTAATTATTTTTTTAATTTTATTTTTTAACGTATTTACATTTTTATTTTTTTTATATTATATATAAATATATATATAACAATAATTATATATATATTTAATCAGTATCAGTCTACGTGTAATTTGATATTAATATATATATATAATTATATATATATTAATAGTAAAATACACCTAGACGGTGTATGTGTGTGTATGTATATGTGTATATATATACTTAGATCATATATATATATTATATATATATGATCTAAGTATATATAATTATTTTTTTTTACACCATTAACTTATTTTTATTTTATTTTCAGCCAGCAGGGGGACCACCTGTCATTACAGGCAGCCCCCCTGCCGGCAATACAGAAGCCAGCTATCCCCGGCCATGTGATTGTGGGGTCCTCGCTAGGACCCCACTCTCACATGGCCGGGGGGCTTCGACGAGGACGGACGTGCCGGCGACCGGGTAAGTTAACAAAAACCAGAGGGCGTACAATTACGCCCGGCGGCGTTTAGAGCCGCCTATTAGAGGGCGTAATTGTACGTCCTCCGGTTTTAAGGGGTTAATTATTATGTATTAAGAGATTAATATTCATATTTAGGTCACGACCACAACAGAGAGAGTATTAAAGCATTATGGAGAGAGTGAATGAAAGCATGATAGAGAGTGAATGAAAGCATGATAGAGAGAGTGAATTAAAGCATGATAGAGAGTAAATGAAAGCATGATAGAGAGAGTGAATGAAAGCATGACAGAGAGTGAATGAAAGCATGATAGAGAGAGTGAATGAAAGCATTATGGGGCGAGTGAATTAAAGCATGATAGAGAGAGTGAATGAAAGCATGATAGAGAGTGAATGGAAGCACGATAGAGAGCGTGAATAAAAGCATTATGGAAAGAGTAAATGAAAGCATTATGGAGAGAGGGAATTAAATCATGATAGAGATAGTGAATTAAAGCACGATAGAGAGAGAAAGAATGCATTTATAAAACCACAGATAATATTCCATAATTGTTTTTCTTTCATTGCAAAGCGGAAGTACAGCAGTATGATAACCTGGTACATGAAGCCAAATTAAATTAGATACATCCAGCGTAATAGATTTCATTTAAATATTTATTTATGTCTGCAAATACAATCAAAATGCTTCCATTCTGACACAATGTTACTTTCTGACACTGAGAAAAAAAAAACATTTGAAATAGCAGGAATTACCTCCATTTTTTTTTTTTTAAATTCTTGATTTTTGTTTGTGCATGAATTGAACAATCTGGCTTGCTACGCCACAACAGCTGCAGGAAGCCTTTCAATAGCAGAACATAACATGGCATAAGAGAATACAGTGCACATTTTTCTAAAAGGTTGGATGGAACTAGGTTGTGTCTTAACATATTATAGTATTCAAGCTTTTTCTATTCATCTGTGACAATAGTACATGTTGCATTTCTTACTTAAATTACATACTAAACACATTGCACGCTAAACAAATTAACTTTTCGACATGAATGCTAGGCTAGGTAGACTTATGAGAGTATTAGTTACGCTTAGAGTTATGATAAGGTATGTGGTGTTGCAGTTTCGGGAGGGGTGTACGGTATGCTTATTTAACAGGTTAAAACATGTCTCTCGTATGGTGTGGCTATACAATCCTGAACATGCAAGGTGAGTATACCCCTTAGCTTGTAATGTCCAAAATATATATCGCTATAACCGTTTGGGTGTGCGAAAGTCTCCTGGGGTTTCCCAGGTGTGAGTCCCTCTCCGGGTAAGTTGACGTAGGGGGGATCATGTTCCTAGGATCAGGATGTGGCGTTGTGAGACGTGTCAGGACCCCCTGCTCCTGGACCGTGGTGTTGATGGGTCCCCGGCCGTTCACCCGATGCCGCATTGGGGCTGTGCAGAGCCTCGTTGTGGATTCCCGTGGGACTCCACTGTGATGTGGTGAGTGCCCAGCTGTAGTTGGGTAAACGGGTGTAGCTGGGTTCGGTTAGTAATGCCGCTGGGCCTAGGTTGGGTCGCCCTCCGGGTGGTGAGTGAACTGGGTGAGCCAGTGCTTGGTTTCTGTCGCTTCACTGCCTTACGTGGGCGAGGTGCAGGCTTGTTCCTCCGCTGCCTCTGTATAGAGTGAGGCTCTGTCTGGGCTGCAGGCCGGTCCCGAGGGTTAGGTGGCTGCTGTCTGGGTGGGCAGTTTGAGATGAGTGGACCTGGAGCCCCTTGTTGTAGTCTGAGCTCTAGCTTGAGCCAGAAATCTTGGAAGATTTTATCTATGTTGGATGAGGGGTGTCTTAATGTCTCGTGGCTGACTGGTGGCCATCTGGTCTCCGCCATCTTAGGTGGGCCGCTCGGCTCTCCAGCCATCTCCCCAGTTATTTTCGCCCTGTTGGGGGTGACCCCTAGGGGTGGACTGGGATCACCCCCGCCGGTCCAGAGGGGGGGGTTGCGGGGCATCTGCTTGTGGCAGTTGGTTTCCATGTGGCTCCAGGCTGGGGGATCGGCCGCCTCTCCTGCCCGGTGCACGCCAGGCCGCATGCCCTTGCGGGTATAGTCTGCTGTCTGCTGTCCCCTCATGGGCCGCATCACGGGTTCACCATTAGGGTAGAGGGTTGTTATTTCGCTTGGGGTCGTGTGCTGCTGTTTGTTGTGGTTTAGAGGTGCCATTTTAGCCATTTTTACAAGGGTTTCTGTGGAGCTTTAGCTAGGCACGTCTTCCCTCCGTGACAGTCAGGCCCCGCCCCCCCGAATTACCTCCATTTTGGCAGTTAGGGGAGCAGCCATGATGCTTATCTCAACGACAAGTCATTGTATCAGTTTGTGTATTTTATTTTTATCAAATTCTCCCCTTCCAAACACCTAAGTGTTGGTTATTGCAGAATTTGTTGAAACATTATGTGAGGCATATTATACGTCATGTTTCCTTTTTTTATATATATATTTTTGTGGGCATAAAAATTCAAGCAGCAGCATCAATGTAGGTGCAAACAATATAGCCAAAGCTCTGGGATGGGATTACTGGAGTGTAGACAGAGGAGCACAAGGAACTTGATATGTAATGATGATGGGCTAGGAGCTGGAAGGCTGCTTTTCCTGTTTATTATGTGCTATATGTAGTTTTAATTGCCCCCCACCCCACAAAACAATGCAATACATTTTATTTTTGTAATGTGTTTTTTTAGATATGAAGTTTTTCTCAATATAAATCTTTTTTTTAAATCTACTATATACAATGATTTTTTTTTTAAAAACATTCTGTGTTTATTGAGTTTCACTTGGAAAAAGGCATATTTTACAGATACATTGGGTGCGCATAGTTAGTCAGTGCGGATGCAGATGTTAATACATTTCCACTGATTCTATCGTTGTCTGCTGTGACCTTTGTTGTCGAGTTTGTGCTGTCAGACCTGGTGGTGTGTCTTGGTAAGTTTTGTGCTGTATTCAGTGGTTGTGTTTCTTGCTCTCTGCCCGTTGTTTTTTCCGTGTGCCTACGTAGGTGTGCGGAGTTCTATTGGTCAATGTCTTTCTGTACGTCTGCTTCCTGTTTTGCCTTATTGTATATCAACTTATCAAAAACAAGGTATAAAATCATACAAAGTAATGGAATTATACAAAGTAATAAAATTTATAAAATTATACAATCGTAGAAATACAGGTACAAATGGTTCAATTCCTTGGTCTCAGGGGTTAAGTTGTAGTTCTTGGTAGTGTTGTGGGGGTTCCAGTTTGTAGTTTCGGCTTTCATGTGTGGGCAGTTTGGGTCTGCCCATTGCGGGCCATAGGGGCTTGTTGGAGGGGGTCTTGTGTGTTGTATCTGCTTGTGAGTCTCCCATCTAGGCTCCTTCGTGGGCTGTCAGCTGTGGGCCGGGGGTCTCTTTTTGACCACATGGCTAGGGTCTCCTGTCCCTTAGGTTTGTGGGTGTGGAGCCCAATTTAGCATTCTAGTGGTGCCGGGGTTGTTATACTTTGAGGTTTGTTTATTTATGACAGGGAGGGTTCATTTAACCATGGGTCCCGTATCTTATAGAAGTTTTGTGATGTTTCGTGGATCTTGGCTGAGAGCCTGTCCATTTCCACGGCCTCCCTGGTTTTGCGTATGACTATGTCTAGTGTGGGTATGTTTGGGGTGCAGAATTCTGTTATTGCCCGTCTGGTTGCTAGGGCCAGTCTGTTCGTGAGTTTGTTTTGTGCTCTGGTCAGGGGTCCCCAGGGTTTGGAGAGGAACCATATCCAGGGGTCTATGAGAATGTCCGTGTGGAGGAGGTCATATATGTGGTGTATATATGTGCTCCTGTGTCCGCATCCCTTCCAACATAGGTCCAACTCTGCCCTTCCCATGTGATATAGCCGTGTGGGTGTTAGGTACTGTCTCAGCATTGTTTTGTGGGCCTGTTCTTTATGGTTTACACATATGGATGTCGTGGCCTCCCATATGTCCTGCCAGTCCATCAGGTCATCTGGTGGCCCCAGGTCCCTCTCCCAAGCTGCCACATAGGCTAGTGCTCCCGGTGGTTGGTTAGTGATCAATAGTATGTAATTATTTGTGATCTGTCCCTTGTGGGTTGGGTTGTGTATGCAAGTTCTTTCGAAAGGTGTGAGTTTTGTGGTGGCTGCTTTTGTGTTTTCTGGGAGTTCTAGGAAGCTTCTAAGTTGTATGTATCTAAAGAAATCATGGGTGTTGTATTGTTGGTGTGGTAGCGGGAGCTCGTTGTACTGTATTAGTTTCCCTCCTGCAAAGAAATGATAGAGCCTGTAGAGGTCATTGTGTTCATAGTGTGCAAAGTCTTTGGGGTTCATGCCTGGCTGAAAGGCTTTGTTGTGCAGTATCGGGGCCAGTGGTGAAGGGTCGTTGGTGATTGGGAATTTCTTAGTGAGTTTGTCCCATACGGTAATGGAGTTCGCTAGCATTGGAGGTGTAGGGGGTGGTATTGGTCGAGATTTTCTTGGTACCCAGAGGTAGAGGGAGGGGAAGTCGAAGCCAAAGAGGTCGTGTTCCAGCTAGGGCGTATGTGTAGTGTAGTTCCGCTGGTAGAGCGATTCCTAGGTATGAGATGTGTGAGGTATTGTATCGGAACGAGTATGTGTTTTGTATTATGTATCTGTAGTGTGCTTCTATATTTAGCATGAGTGCTTCGGTTTTATCTAGGTTCAGCCTGTACCCAGATACTTCAAAATATTCCTGTATGAGTTGGAGGAGTGGAGAAAGGGAGTGCAGCAGGTCTGTGAGTGATAGTAAAAGGTCATCGGCATAAGCTGCTTTGTATGTTTGTGTACGTACTTTGATGCCTGCAATCGATGGTGTGGTGCGAATGAGATGCATTAGGGGTTAGAGGGAGAGGGCGAATAGGATGGGGGACAGGGGGCAGCCCTGCCTCGTTCCGTTGTATATGGAGAAGGTGGGTGGGTTTGTATTGGGTATGAGGAGGTTGGCCGTGGGATTGGTGTAGATCGTTTTAAATGCATCTTGGGGAAGTTTAGGGAAGCCAAATTTCTCCAATGTGGCGCAGAGGAATGGCCAGAGAAGTCTGTCAAAAGCCTTCTCAGCGTCCAGGGATAAGAGAAGGGTCGGGGTAGAGCGTCGATTGGCCACCCAGACCAGGTCGAGCATTCTCCTGGTGTTGTCGCTGGCTTGTCGGGTGGGAATGAAGCCCACCTGGTCTGGGTGGACCAGTTTGGTGAGGAATGGCAAGAGCCGGTTGGAGAGTAATTTTGTAAATATCTTCACGTCCACGTTCAACAAGGATATGGGTCTGTTATGGTCTGGGTCTGATAGGGGTTTTTTGGGCTTGGGTAGGAGGCAGATATTTTGTAGTAAACGCCCGAGTATCCGTCTGGTCCTGGGCTTTTGTTGGGTTTGGTGGTTCCAATCGAGGTTGCCACTTCCCATTCTGAGATTTCCGTGGAGAGTTGTGTGAGTGCGTCGCCCTGCAAGGTGGGTAGTTTAATTCGTTCTAGGAAGGTGTGGATATGATCCGCCAGATTGTAGGTGCTTTGTCTGTGTTGTGGGGAGTGGTCATGGAGGTTAGAGAAATATTTTTGGAACGTCTCTGCAATTTTTGCCGGTATGTCTGTGACGTGTCTGTTTGGCCTGGGTACGCTTACGTAATCTGCATACGAGGAGGGTGTCAGCTTTATTGGATTTTTCATAGAACATTTGACGTGTCCATTGGAGGGCTCTAGTAGCATCTGTTGTCATTGCGGTCTTCAGGGTTTGCCTTTTCTGTTGGATTTGTGTGGTGAGGTCGGGGGTAGGTGTTTCTGTTTGGCTTCTAGAGTTTTAATTTCATTAAGAACGTTTTCTTCTTGTGTGCAGTAGCTATGCTGATGAGAGCACCTCTGAGTACTGTTTTATGGGCTGCCCACAGGACCGCTTGTGACTGGACTGAGTCCTTGTTCGTGGTGAAGTAGTTTCTGAGTTCAGACTTAACTTGTTGTACAGTTTGTGGATCGTGCAGTAGGAGTGGGTTGAGTCTCCAAGACCAAGGTCTGGATATGTGTGGTGGTTGGAATGTTATGGAGATTTCTGCGTGATCGGACCAAGTTATGTCTCCGATTGAGATTGCTGTCGTGATTGGGAGGAGAGATGGGGAGAAATAATCTATGCGGGAATAGCTGTTGTGTGGGTTGGAGTAGAATGTGTAGTCTTGTGTAGTTGGGTTAATTGGGTTTTGGAGATGAATTGGGTTTTGGAGATGAAGATTAATTGGGTTTTGGAGATGAAGTCTGCCATGAGTTTGTCCGATCTGGATGGATGGGTTTGTGTGTTTGAGTGCGGTGGTCAGTCTATTGTTGGCGTGATGGTGGCGTTGAAGTCGCCTCCTATGAGTTTATGGTGACTTGGGTGGAGGCTGTGGTGGGTTTGCAAGGTGGGACAGAATTCGGGTTCCGATATTGTCGGGGCATATATGGTTGTGATAGCGTATTTGGATGGTCCTATTGTGCCATTATAGTTAGGTAGCGTCTGTGGTGGTCTTTGTTGGTGGAAGTGACCTGTAGGGGGCAAGATTTCTGCAAAAGGATCGCCACTCCATTGTGTTTACCCGTGTCTGAGTAAGCTAAGTGGCAGGCCTTGAAGTGGCGGCTCAGGAGGGGGAAGGGGCACTTTGCTGAGTAGTGTGTTTCCTGTAAGAGGATAATGTCTGCTGTGGTGCAGTTGGCCCATCGCATAAGTCTGTGTCGCTTTGTGGGGTTATTTAGCCCTTTACAGTTTATGGAGATGCATGTTAGGCTAGGTGGTGTGATTGGTTGTGTTGCGTCTGGGTTTTGGATCTGCCCGCCCAACTGTCCCCTATGGCTTTTGGGGGTCCTGTTAGGGAGCCTGGCTTGTTTCCCCTTAGTGAGACCAAGTGTGACCAACATAAAACATGTAACCAATAACGGTAATAATAACAACAACAATAATAATAACTGCCTGGTCTTAATGTTCTTGCCAGGCATGGTGGTGTGGGGTGCGCGGGTTCATCCCAACTCGGGTGACATTTGCGCCTTGTGTCCTGTGTATTATGGGGCATCGTGTGGGGGTCCCCATGGTGCGTCCCACTATGGGCAGGTTTAGGTTAGGGTCTGCACGCTAGGGGTGTGGTGGATCTGTCCCGGGCCTCACCATTGGGTGTCGGGGGCTGCTGATAGGTCGGGGTGGTTGGCATGGGTCCCCAGTTTCTGTTCTGGGCCCCGATAGTGTGTGGTGGGTTTGAGGTCCTACGTGGGTCGGTGTTGGAGTGTGCATTCGTCTCCCATAATAAATACATTTTCACACACCTCCATCCCGCCCGCCTCCCCTGCACCCAAACGTGCCACCCTCCCCTGCGTTCTCCTTCCTCCAGCTGTTCTATGCTACATCCTGTCCCCTCCACCCAGATCCCTTCCCCTAGGTTAGGTAGTAAAGTCCCGTTATTCAGATCTAGTCGGTTCCCTAAGCTTGGTTAATAAATGTGTAGCTGCATTTATAGTAAAAGGATATGTTAGTGAGTTCTTTTGTCAGGGTGGTTGGTGGCTTTGTAGCCACTCCGCCGCAGGGCTTGGTCCCTGCAGGAACTCCGTTGTGCCCAAAGAGTACCGGCTTTGGTGTGTTCATGGTCCATGGTCTTGGGCTTGCCGGATGGGTTGTCATTTGGATGGCTGGTTCTGGTGTTGTTGTGGTTTTTCCCAGAGCGGTGTCCGTGGAGTTCTGGTGCTGGTCATTGGGTTCGTAGATCTGGCCAGTGCCTCAGGAATTCGGATGTCCAGTGTTGCCGCGAAGAATGCCATCCTGGATATGTCTTGGAGGACGTGGGTGGTGTCTTGCTGGCGGACTAGGAGTTTAAATGGGTGCACCCAGCGGTATGCAATGTTTGCTTGTGCCAGGGCATTGGTGAGTGGTTTGAGTTCTCTGCGCTTGGCAAGGGTGATGGGTGACACGTCCTGGTAAAATTGCAGATGTCATTGTGGCGTCAAATTTTGGTGGTATTCTCCGCGTGGCAGCCATGATGGCCTCCTTAGCAGTGAAGTAGTGTAGGCGCACTATTACATCTCTGGGTGCTGACTAGTTTTGGCTGGGGGGCTTCAGTGCCCTGTGTGCCCGGTCTATAGTCAGGTCTTGTGGTGTTGCGTCAGAGAGGAGAGACATGAAGAGTTCACGCAACGTAGAGGGCAATATGTCTGGCGTTACAGTCTCAGGGAGGCCTCTTATCCTTATGTTATTACACCACGAGCGGTTGTTTAGGTCTTCCATACCTGTTTCCAGTATATCCACTCTGGTTCTCAGTGTGGTGATGTCTGCCTCCTGTGCCTGTAAGGTATCCAGGAGTTCATCTGCTCTCTGCTCCACCTGACCTGTTCTTTCTCCCAGGTCTGCTATTTCTGCCTTCATGCAGTGTAATTGCTTCTCCAGCTCTGCTGCCATGTGTCTCTTTATATCTGTGACTGCTTCCCTTAGTAAAAGTTGCAGGTCTCGCTTTGTCAGTGGGGCTGCTGCTGAGGCTGTTGCCTCACTCTGATCTGAGTCTGAATCATCTGCCTGCTGTGGGGAAAATGGCGCTGGACGGCGCTGGGGCCGGAACAATGAGGCCACCGAGGGTGTTTGATCGCGCTTTTTACGATTTCCACCCTTGCCAGTAGGTTGGCGCGGGTGTCCTGGCGGGTGTGCCGATATGTTAGGGGGTCTGTGTGCAGGTTGTTGTTTATTTAGTAGCTGTTGTTGCCGCCCGATGGCGGGAGTTTGCGCGCTATGCGGCCATCTTCCTTCCCGGTCAGGCTCCGCCCCCCACAATGATTTTGTTTTTTTAAATGGTGATATTGCTTTTTAAAATTCATTTTTATTTTTTTTTAATCCATTGTTAGCTGCAATATTTTTTTTTTTTGTTCTTACCAATTTTTGATGCTGGGATGATTACTGCATACATTTTTTGTAACAGTAAGTTTTATAGATTCCAAGCCATCATAACATTAAGAGGGTCACATAAATATTTCACTATAAAAAGATTCCTGCAGCCTCCCCTCAGCCCAACAGCTTTGGTTCTCTCTGACACTAATATTCCCATAATCCAGACTCAAAAGATACTGTCATCAAAATTTTTTTCTCTCACTATGAAATGACTTCATAGTCATAGAATCTTGGGACCTTTGGATTTGTTAGAGGAAACCCAGTTCCTCTGGATAGGAAAAGAGGGTGTTAGCCTGTGTCTTTTCCCTTCCTAGGGAGGCTGACCAGGTTGGTAGATATTCAAAACTAATCCAAACAAGTTTGACTTGTGAGGTCCACAGTCTAGACCAGTCTTCCCCAAACGCCGTCAGTCCAGATGTTGCTGAACTACAACTCCCATGATTCTATGAATTAAATAGATAGGCTGAGAATCATGGGAGTTGTAGTTCAGCAACACCTGGAAGGCCAGAGGCTGCTCTGGACAGATCTAGTGACTGTGTGGCTCCTTATCAGTGTTTGGGATTAGATTAGAGTGGGTAGCAGCTCTTAAACTGTCATAATTGGCAAGATATTATGAAATAAGTTGTGTGCTGTGGATAGAATTTTCTTTTAAAACAGAATGGTTTAATAATTATAAATCACACTACCATTAAACCTGAGTACCAACGGCCAATTAGTGCCTAGCCTAATACTTCTGTCTTAACATCTGATCTCTTGCTATAGTTCAAGCCAATATTTCAAATTTACTTACAGGACCTTGATAGATTGGCCAATGCACTTACTCCATTAGCAGATACCTATTGCCCATCCATTACAATTTACCTGAGCTCCCCATACCACACCCTGTCTAGTTACTTATTGCTGTGTTTCCTTGGTGATAAATTAATATCATAAACATTTTTATAGGGCTGGCATTTGTATACATTGAAGCCCCATAGCTTTAAAAATGCATTTAACTCGCTGATATATAAATAATAAGCCTACTGATATAACTGATGCATACTAGAGTAATATAAATACAGAACCTGACTTTGGGAGATGAAGTAGACTTGATTGATGATGTTAAAAATGCCCTGGATGAAAAGTTTTTTTTCTTCTTTTGGGTTTGAATAAATAATTGTCATCTCTGTAATATCAGCAGCTATGTTCTCCTCCTGCAATTATAACTAGCAGTCATGGGTAAAATATGCTGTTTATTGTAATCTGTCACACATACAAGGTGTTCTTTGAAAGACTGTAGACCCAGCAGGTATAAAGAGATAGCCCTGCAAACGTCACTGTAATTGATAAGGGATTATATCTGGTGGGAACAAAACCGCAAAGGATCTTACCCAAGCAACTGGCAATCTAATGCACTGAAACAGAGCTGCACAGTGTGTGTAACAATGTTACAGTATGGAAGGATGTGTGTAACATTCAAACACAAACACACAAACAAAAAACACAGACACAGTCTGCAATAATCCATTCACACACTACAACAATGCATTTACAATAACATATAAAAATGCAAAACATTCTGTTTGCAGTAATTCTAATATTCATTATCATAAGAAATAAGCAACATTTGTATAAATATATATTTTTTTCTGATCAGTTTTCTGCTTACATTTCTGTTTTGTTTTTTGTTTATTTTATGTTTTGTCAGATATGTAGTGCATTGCAGTGTATTTTCTAATGCTAAAGACTTATTGGAAAAGTAAAGATCCCTTCCCTGTGTAACACAGCAACAAGCAGTGTGTATATTTTAAGATTTGTCTGAGTATGGTGAGCGCTACATTCCACAGCAGCTGAAATGTTAGCAGTCGATCTCCAAATACTTGTAGTCTGCAACAAAATGTGTATGTATGAGTATGTCTGTGATAGAGTGCGTGTGTTTCAGTGTTTGGCTGAGTGTCATGAGAGTTGCAATCCACAGTGTTAGCTGACATAATGTATCTGGCAAGTCAGCTGGCTTGAAAACTGAATAAAATGAACTTTTCAATCCATTCACTGCTAAACAACATACTACAAAAAATTACCATGAAAAAATCATTTTATGTGTCCAGGATAATATTGTGTAAATCTGTTTATTGGCACTAAGCATTGTTAGTACATTACTTAAAGGCAAAAAAGTATATGTAACACATTGTCACTATATATTGAGTCCTGAAATTGCCAAAGTCCCTAAATTTCCATAGTCTCGAATTTCCCAAAGTCCCAAAATTTCCGAAGTCCCGAAATTTCCGAAGTCCCGTATTTCGGAAGTGCCGAAGTGCCAAAATCCCGAATTGCCGAAGTCCCCAATTTTGGAAGTGCGGAACCGAATTTCCAAAGTCCTGAAATTTCCGAAGTTCTGAAATTCGAAAGTGCCGAAGTCCAGAATTTCTGAATTGCCAAGCCAAACCGAACCGAATTGACGAAGTCCCGAATTGACGAAGTCCCGAATTTCAGAATGCCGAACCAAACCAAACCGAATAATTTTCCCATGCACATCCCTACAATGCAATGATTATATCGGTGAGGAACCTTTTGGGTCGGTTGCTCATCGAAATAGTTCTAGATACAAAAGGTTTTTGGGCTTCCCCAAGTTGTTTCTAACTTGCTCTTTGGAGATGCATCTGGTACCAGGCTTGTAACTCAGGAAATTGCATCGATGTATGCCTTCTCGATGGAAATCTTGGGGTCCAAGCTGACGAACACATGTTGGGTCAGGATTCTCTTGTTAGTCATCCTGGTGTCTCCTAAATCAGGATGCCAAAGTATTTTCCCATCTCTGCGATCGGATCGGTCTGTAGCTCTTGACAGACTCTTTGAGGCTTACCGAACCTGGAAAAGACATGGTTAATCAATAAAGTGGTACACACGGTACTTGTGTTCTCTTTGCATGGTAAACATGATCCACTTTGTGTACATACATGTAACGGTTAACATGTATATGTTACCTCTTGAAGATCTTGTTACAGGGCGTATAAAGTCAATTTGAATATCAGACCAGGGTAATGACATTCCCCTTTTCTGAAGTGGTGCACGATGGGTTGGACCATGGGATTGATATTGCAGACAAATCAAGCATCCCTGACAATATGTCTTTACATCTCTTAAAATGTGTGGCCAATATTTCATATGTGATTTTGTCCCCGCTATGTTCTTTTGACTGGTGATCAGGACCTCACTAGGAGCTTCTTGACTCTATTGCACGACATTTAAGTCGGCATTATGTCTAGCCTGTCGTCTAGTTATGGCTTCAAAATGAATTGAACTCACAAGATTGTCGATGTTTAGGGTTTCACCATTGATGGCAGCTTGTTTTCCCAGTGAATCAGCTAAGTTGTTACCTTCCTTGTCAATACTTTGTATTTTAGAATGGCCTTTGGTTTTTCCTTAACCAGTTCATTGATTTTACAAAAATGTTTCCATGTTTAACAGGTTTGTTATTGCTTTTCAGCATTTGGTTATGTTTCCAGCTAAGCAGATATTTGACGAAACTGTTGCGAACATAGTTGGAATCAGTTATGATAAATTATTTGATACCATATTCTATTGCCATTTGTATGGTCTTATAAAGTACACAGAGTTCGGCTATCTGACTACTTTAGGGACCAATATTTTTCCCTACAGACACATTAGGATAATCACCTATCCAGGCGATTCTGATACCTGCAACTAACTTTCGTTCATTAACAACATTGTTACATTGTTGTGATATGAACAACCATCAATGTATACCCACGGTAGTAGTTTATAGTATTCCTCGTCATTAACTTTATAAGGGGATAGCAATTGCTCTTCTAGGAAGTCCTCTCCGGTGTCATTATCATCCAGAGATGGAGAAATACGGTCATGTAATTCTGCTAAACCTTGGGCAACTGGGCTTCTCTTATTATGTTTATAACTGACTGCTAACGGCCAACCCTGTAAGGATAGAGTCCATGCAGTAATCCAACTGTTAGAGAGATTACTGTCTTTAATTCGTTCACTTTGCAGATACTGTAGAGGTTGGTGAGCAGTTTCTAGAATAATTTTCTCACCTTGGATATAGCTACAAAAATTTTGTAGTGCCCAAACTGTTGACAATAACGCTTTCTCACACATGTTGAATTTAACTTCAACAGGTGACAAAGTCTTGCTAGCATATGCAATAACTTTGTTTAGACTGTTCTGCTTCTGATACAGAAAAGCACTTATGCTTAAATCGGTGTATCCAGTCTCCAGGTAGAAGGGTTTACCCCCCTCTGGGTATGCTAAACAGGGTGCCTGAAAGTGCTTCCTCCTCAGTTCACTTAACGCTTGGTCCTGAGGTTCCTCCCAGTTCCAGGTTGTTTCCTTTTTAAGCAGGTGTAAAAGTGGTTTCATTATTTCTGCATACTTATCTATAAACTTACGTGATTAGTTAGCCATGCCAAGGAATGATCTTAATTCCCTGATGTTAGTTGGTGTTTTAGCCTTTAGTATGGCTTTAACCTTCTTCTTCTGTAGATTTAACCCTTTAGAGATTACCTCATGTCCGAGGAAATATATGATTATCAAAGGAAGTGCTTTTTAGCAAGACATCGTCGACATATGATAACGTTCCTCTCTCGAGTGCATGAGGCATAGCTTTATGCATGAACACAGCAAATTCATGACCAGAGTTTATGTAACCGAAAGGCATATGGGTCCAGGTATACTGCTGCTTTCCAAATGTGAAGGCCAGTTTGTATTGGTCTTCATCATTGACTGATACAGTCCAATATCCCTGCGCACAGTCAATGGCAGTGAATATTTTGGATCCCTGCATTTGTACCAAACATTGGTCTATGTATAGCACTGGCCAACCAGATACATAGACACATTTATTTAGCTGTCTTTACTCA